AAAGTGCATCATCTCGCACTTATTAGGATTTAATTCCATATGCCATTACTCTGCCCAATTTGCCAGCTGATCAATATCAGACTACAGCCTAAGACCATCCTCCTATCAACATCAACATCAATTTTCATGTCATCTGAAAACTTACTAATTGTACCTTCTACATTCACATCCAAATCATTCATGTATTGCAACAGTATCATATTCCCACGTGCTGATCAATGCTCTCAGTTCATCTGTCTTACCAGACAGGATCCTTGCATTTTTTCCCCTCATTATTTTTAAGTCATTGCAGATGGTTCCTAAAAAATTCCTCGTCTATTGACCTGCCACTATTTTTCGCCATTTATACGCCTTCATTCTTGATTGGATACTCTGCTTGACTGCCTTCGTTCACCACGGGTGCTTCATCCCTCTCATCAAGTCCTCTTCTTCGATTAGAATGAAATTTTGCTGAACACAATGAAATAGCTCCTCAAATGTCTGCTCATCCACCAATCTTCCATCTTTGAGTCTGTTTTAGAAAACTTTTTTTTCACACCTGTGTAATTGCTCTTATTTACATTGAAGACACTGCTTTGAGACCTGTGTTGCTCTCTCTCAAACCAAAATTGAGTTTCTACTATGTTGTGGTCACTAACTCAAAGAGAATCCTTAACTATGGGATCTCTTGTTAATCCTGCTTCATTAACATTCCTAGATGTAAAATAGCCAGCTTACAGGTAAGTTGTGCAACGTACTGTTCTAAGAAACAATTCTTGATGTAGTCTAGAATTTTGCATTGTTACCCTTGTCCGTCTGTTTTGTCCCATCAGCATGCAGACTAAAAAGACCAATCATAATTGTAGTGCCCTAATTTATGTTTTGTCCCAACAGGAGGCAACTCTTCATAGCCCATGGACAACTCCCATGACTTTGTTTTGCTATGACTTATTTCCACGCAAACTGATTCCACATCATGTTTTCTTACACTTATATCACTACTTACCACCATACACAGCAAACTCTTTATTAACTGGCACCTATGGGACTAGGAGTGTGCCAGTTGATCAAATATTCCAGCTAATCAAGAGGTCCACTTAATCAATGTGAAAACACACACTAAGTAATAAAATCGTAATGCAGGGAGTATATACATCAATGGTATACTTTATTTATAGTGTAAATCACTTAAATAATAATATAGCTTTGTCTTAAATAAAACTTATCAGCAGAGAGCCTTTATATTCACACCCTCAACTAACTGCTTGGATATTGCTGTACTCGAGGAGAAATTGACTCAAAATTGAATCAACTGTTGACTTTTCGTGTGGCCATTCAATTGAACAACAAGTATGTTTACACTATGATAAATAAATGGAAAAAAAAGACAGAATAATACAGTAAAGCTCACGGTATTTGAGGTATATAATTTTTGTCAGTTTATCAAGAGTGCTGGTTAAAACAAAGTTTGCTGTATATTAACAACACTACCCCACCTGCTTTTTCTTTTTTGTCTCTTCTTCCAAGATGTTTAAAACCCTTGAATACTAAGTTCCCAATCTTGGTCACGCTGCAACCACGTGGGTTTCCTCTGGTTGATCTGGTTTCCTCCTGCAGTCCAAAAATGTGTAGGTTAGGTGGATCGGCCATACTAAATTGCCCTTAGTGTCCAGGGTTGTGCAGGCTAAGTGGATCAGCCATGGGACAAGGTATGGGGTGGGTCTGGGTTGGATGATCTTCGGAGGGTTGGTGTGGACTCGATGGACCGATTGGCCTTCTTCTACACTGTAGGAATTCTGTGACTCTGTGATTATCATCTTATTCTTTTTACTTAGTCTCAAGCGGCTGTTAATCCCTCTGCATTGTCCTCGTCCGATGTACATCATTGGTTCCTTGATAGACCACGACAACTGGATCCTTCCCTTCCCACTCCAGGTTTCTCTCCAGCAGGGAAGCAATGCCCTTAAGCTTGAAAACACATAGCCTTTGGGACTGCAGAGAACTGTATCTACTCCCCTAACTGAACCATGTCCTATTACTACTGCTTTTCACTCTTTTCTCTCCCCTCCCCCAACACATACACAAACACACACACTCCCTTGTATGATGCTCACTTTGCTTATTTTCCCTTCAGTCTCTGCCCTCTTCTGCATTGGGAGCAAGAACCTCCCACCTATTAATTAAAAAGCCTCCCACCTATGAAAATTAATTTAATTAATCAAAGAGACATTACTTTTTCCTAAGGCAGTGTCCCGATTCCTCTCCCTTCCTTGATATGTTGTGGTGTCCATAGGCCAGACTCCAGTTTATCAATTCCAAACCACAGTTCCTCGAGCAGCCAAAACTTGCTATAAATGGATAGCACCAGGTTCCACATACCACAGCGACAACGCATCATCCATCTCTGGCTCCTCTTCTTCTCCCAGTAATTTGGAAATTATAAACTATTATCATCATATTCATCCATAGAATGAACACTGACTCACCTGACAGATTTTCTAACACCTCCATCGAAATCTCATGGATTACCATTTTCAGCACAGAAAATATCTTTCAAATAGTTCTGTCTGCCATTTTACAACAGATTTTCCCATTTCAGCCTCACCTCCCTCACATGTTGCCCCATCCCAACACTTTTGCCAGTCTCAAACGTTCACTTCACTTCCTGTCACTCTAAACAATCCTTCATGGAAACCCTTCAGCTGGGGTAACTTTATTTTTGGACTCTCCTTTCCTTCCACTATTTGTGTGTGTGTGTGACCGTGTGTGTGTGTGGGAGAGAGAGTGTGTGCATGAGCGAGTGTGTGTGTGTGGGAGAGAGAGTGTGTGTGAGCATGTGTGTGTGGGAGAGAGTATATGTATGTTTATGTGTGTGGGAGGGAGAGTGTGTGTGGTGTGGGAGAGAGAGAGAGTATGTGTGTGTGGGGGGGGTGCAGAATATGTGTGTGTGTGTTGGGGGAGGGGGGTGACAATATGTGTGTGTCTGAGGGAGGGAGTGTGTGTGTGGGGGGGTGCTGTAGCTGAGGGGCAAGGGGAGAGACCGTGTGCGCGTGTGTGGGAGAGAGAGTGTATGTATGTTTGTGTGTGGGAGAGAGTGTACGTATGTTTACGTGCGTGGGAGAGAGAGTGTACGTATGTTTGTGTGTGTGGGAGAGGGAGTGTGTGTGGGAGAGGGAGTGTATGTGTGTGTGTGGGAGGGAGTGTGTGTGGTAGAAAGTGTGTGTATGAGGCAGGATCTGCGTGAGTGTGTGTGTGTTTGTGTAAGAGTGTGTGTGTGTATAATGTGGTGATGTCACCTGTAGTGCCACATGAACCCAGTATCTCAGTTGAGGACGCTATCAAGGACATTGTGTCTCGGATCTTCGGGTAAATGTCCTCCAAGACGGACTTCAGAATACACAACAACGCAGAGTTGCTGAGCAGAGGATGATGGCCAAGTTCGGTAGCCATGAGGACAGACTCAACTGGGATCTTGGGTTTGTGGCACCCTACAGGTGACCCTACCACACTATACACTCTTTCTCATACATACACAGAAAGACACACATACACACACACACTCTCTCTCTCTCTTCCCCCCTCTGTCTCTCTCTCTCACACACATGCACGCGCATTCTCTCTCTCTCTGTCTCTTTGTCACTGCCCCCCCCCCACACACACACACACACATGCACACGTATAAATCTATGGTGTGAATTTGTATTTGTAGATAATTCTATTTTGTTCAAAAAGCACACAATTTATGGACAGTCAATTTGGCGTTTTATAAATTCCTACTTTAGAAATAAAACCAGTCTGACTCCAAACCAAAACAAATTCTAAACAAGGTCTCCCACCTAACATGCATTGTCAGACCTAAAATGTCACTTCTTCTTTACACTGATAAAACATTTAGTTCTCTCAGGACAGTGACTTGAAAGGAATTCATAGATTTACATATACATATTAATCAATTAAAACCTTCTAACCGATTAAAGATTTAACAGCATCTTAGGTTTGTTTAATACATCCTCATCGGTGGTGTGACTCGTTGATCTTTTACTTATAAATTGTGTTCTGTGTGCTTCTTTCTCACTTCACCTGATGAAGGGGCTATACTCCGATAGCTTGTGTTTTCAAATAAACCTGTTGAACTATAACCTGGTCTCACGTGATTTCTGACCTTGTCCACCCCAGTCCAATACTAGCACCCCCACATCACAAGTGAAAGTAAACATAGGCCCATTTGAGAGGCGCAGAGATTAATGTGTAGTGGAGAATATGGAAATTGCTGAAACTTTAAACAAGTAATTTATAACTCTCCACATGGTAGGAGAAATCCAGAAATTGTTCACTAAGAGTCTAGTAAAATTTTCTTAAATCTAAGCCCTCTGGGTTCTCTATTCTTTCATTAATAGGAACAGCTTCTCTGTCTGTTCTGTCCAAATCCCTGATGATTTTGAGTATCTCAATCAAATTTCCCTTTGACCTTATGAGGGGAGGTGATGGCCCAGTGGTTTTGTTAGTACAGAGATTGAGATAATGTTCTGGGGACCTGGGTTTGAATTCCACTACGGCAGATAGTAGAATTTGAATTCAATAAAATATCTGGTATTAAGAGTCTAGTTTGACAATAAATCCATGGTCGATTGTTGTTAAAAATCCTTCTTTCCTGGTCTGGCCTACATGTGAGTCTAGATCCATAGCAATGTGGTCTACTCTTAACTGTCCTCTGGGTATTTTGGGGTGGGCAATAAATGCTGGCCAGTGATGCCCTCACCCTGTAAATGAATAAACAAAAAAGGAAAACAACCCCATCTTCTCTGATCTCTCTGAATGACTTCCTCAGCCCTGGAACCATTTTGGTCAAGCCTTGCTGTACTCTTTTTCCATTTGTCTGTCTCTTTGAGACTGTCTGCATGCTCCTAAAGTGTGGCAGCACAGCAAGATGGCTAGGTGCCTTCAGGAGCAGGCTGAAGATTGGCTTTTTGTCCACCAACTGGGCTGCTTTCTGATATAATGTTCTCTGGTTGCACATCTAGGACTTTCTGGACATGGTATCTGAAAAGATCAAGCTGAAGGTGATCTTCAATAATGTGTGGAAACTATATGATACCCTGTTTTGTGAAGTGAGTACTTCATGCATATGTGGTTGGATCAAGGGGTTTTTACTTCCTTTCTGTTATAGGTCTTTAATCAGTAAGGAAATCAAGAATTATGGGGATAATGCTGGAAAGTGGAGCTCAGGATTATCAAAAGACCCATGCACTCTATCAGTGGCAGAGCAGACTTGATGGGCTAAATGGCCTATATCTACTCCTTCGTCTTATGGTCCTATTGTGAATCCCATTTATCATTTTAATTGTCTGGTCTTAGTAGCAGCCTGTGATGGGGAGCTGTGCAAATATATGATCTGCATATGTTGAAATAAATTAAGTTGAGGTGGTTATTTGTAAGGGGAGACGATGGCCTAGTGGTATTATCACTGGGCTGTTAATCCAGAGGTAACATTCTGGGGACCCAGGTTTGAAACCCACCTCGGCAGATGGTGGAATTTGAATTCAAAAAATATCTGGAATTAAGAATCTAATGATGACTGTGAATCCATTGTCGATTGTTGGGAAAACCCATCTGGTTCACTAATGTCCTTTTGGGAAGGAAACTGCCATCCTTGCCTGGTATGGCCTACATGTGACTCCAGACCCACAGCAATGTGGTTGACTCTTAACTGCCCTCTGGGCAATTAGAGGTGGGCAATAAATGCTGCCTAGCCAGCAACGCCCTCATCCCGTGAATGAATAAAATCATTCTGCAATTGCTTGCTGGCTACTGTCAACATTGTACTTTGCTGATTGTTGCAAGGTTTGTTGAACTGAGGATACTGGTCTCATTGACCTTGAACTTTGCATTCTGCCAGCTGGTATTCCCTGATTAGCCAACTAAAGACACACCTATGCTGACTGTAACAAATCTCACTGCGCAGCACACTCCTCCAGAGTGACACAGTAATGTCAGCCAACTGGAAGTTCTCCAACTCTGTACTTTAACATGGTAATGTTTGTATCACACCTTAACCCTTCAACCACTTGTGTATTCACTGCCTTCATCTCCTTTCTGGAGTGATGGGAGCTGCTGGTAACCTGTCCATCACCAGACTTTGCTCTCCACCCTTCACCTTTGCAGCTGGCAAAATGTGTAAGAGCATGACTGTTTCCTAGAGTTACCCAGCTGTGGGCCTGCGTTCCTCTGCAAGTCAACTTGTGTTTTTACTTTTACCTTGACAGAAAATTCATAATTTCACTCTGCCTTCCTGGGTGACACCGGAAGTGATTGCTCGTCTGAAATATCTGAACGACTTGGGCATGGAAGTCCTCTTCGGCCTGTCTGGAATGCAGGAGAAATCACGGCTTCAAGGCGGTGAGTGACGGCCATGGATTACAGCCTAGGAAACATTATTGAGTGAGCAAACAGAGATGGAAACGGTGAGCTGATTACCGACAGGACTTCACTAACTCTGAAAAAGGTGGCACAAGAACCATCTCTGCACCTGCTCCAATGCTTCTCTGAGCTCAGAACTGATGGGGCATGGTTATGTTTGTGGGGTACTGCATGCTTGATTATCTTCCCTACCTAATGGTCAGTTACTGAGTTTTATATCATTCCTCATCCTACCATAAAGGGATGTCATATTTTACATCTTGGAACTCCTTCAACAGGACTGGGGATTGACTTGCTGATAAACCAAAGACATTTACATACAGGCCTATACTGAAATATAGCCACGAGTTTCAGGCATGAATAAATCAATAGGGTGAACTAGTCTGATATGGAGCAGAGACACAGCAGGTGATGGTTCTGCGATGAAAATTCTGTACATTAGTGCCTGATGGACCTATTGTGAAATTAACAAGTAGAGTTATTTATCTGACCCTGGATCCATTAGCCAGGTACTTCCTCCTCATCTTGTTCCACCCTCACCTTCTTTCCACACTCCATGCTCCTAATTTCTTGCCCCTAAAAGATACCTTTGCTCCTTGCGTAGAATCCTAGATTCCCCTGTGTGGAAACAGGCTATTTGGCCCAACAAGTCCACACAGACCTTCTGAAGACCATCCCACAACCCTATCCCTGTATTTCCCATAGCTAACAAACCTAACCTACGCATCCCTGAACGCTATGAGCAATTTTCCACGGCCAACCTACCAAACTTGCACATCTTTGTGACTGTGGGTGGAAACTGGAGTTCCCAGTGGAAACCCACACAGACACGGTGAGAATATGCAAACCCCACACAGACAGTCGCCTGAGGCTGGAATCGAACTCGGGTCCCTGGCAGTGTGAGGCAGCAGTGCTAACCACTGAGCTACCGTGCTCATCCTGAACGACTTCAGTTTTCATCTGCCTTTCCCCCTTTGTCCTGATTTTCACTGTTTCCTTCAGAATATATCTCTCCAGATGAACCCTCTGGTCATCCCAGATCCTGATACTGATAAGTGGGCGGCACGGTGGCTCAGTGGTTAGCACTGCTGCCTCACAGCGCCAGGGACCTGGGATGTGTAGATTAGGTGGGTTATGGGGGATGGGTCTGGGTGGGATGCTCTGTGGGTCAGTTTGGACTCGTTGGGCCGAAGGGCCTGTTTCCACACTGTAGGGATTCTATAAGATCCCATGGATCCTCTCATGATTAAGATCCCTCCTCAACTCACTATCTTCCCTTGTCCTTTTGGAATGTGGGGTGGAATTGGTGATGAGAGATAGTAGGAACTGCAGATGCTGGAGAATCCGAGACAACAAGGTGCAGGGCTGGATGAACACAGCAGGCCCTCTCTGCTCCTATGATGCTGCTTGGCCTGCTGTGTTCATCCAGCCCTGCACCCTGTTGTCTGGAATTGGTGATGTTGAGATTGAAGTCCTGTTAACGCACGACACTTTCAAACGTCGTACCGTAGCCTTGCCTTTTGAAATATAGGGACATACTTGCAGGAATAGGCCATTCAGCCCCTTATGCTTGCTCTGCCATTCTAGCTCATGGCTAATCATCCACCTCATCACCCTTTCCCACGATTTCCATTTCTTGATGTCATTAGTATCTAGAAATTTTTTGATCTTTGTATTGGACTTGGTGGTCTTTCTTACTGATCAATGACTGAGCAACCACAACCCTTGGTGATTGTGAATTCCAAAGATCCATCATCCTCTAAAGACATTTCTCCTCATCTCAGTCTTAAATGACTTATCTTTTATTCTTATACTCTGTCCCCATGGTCTAGAAGCCCACCAGACTCAACCAGGCAATGGCCAAATGGTATTTTCACTAGACCATTAATCCAGAAACGCAGCTTATATTCTGGGGACCTGGGTTCGAACCTGCTGTGGTGGAATTTGAATTCAATAAAACTGGAAATTGTGGAAATAAGAACTCATTGATGACCATTGTTGATTGTCAGAAAAACCCGTCTGGCTCACTAATGACCTTCAGGGACATCCTCAGCTGATCTGGCCTACATGTGTCTCCAGACCCATAGGGGTGTGGCTGACTCTCATTTGTCCTCTGAAATAAGACAGGAAGCTGCTCCGTTGTATCAATCGTTATGAAGTCTCACTGAAGAAATGAAACCAGACTGATCATCCAGTGTTGATCTAGGCACTGGCAATGACAACGGCAGAAACTGCTCTGTCAAACCTGCAAAATCCTCCTCACTAACACCTGGGGGTTAGTGCCAAAATGAGAGAGCTGTCTCACAGACTTGTCAGCAACAGCCTGACATAGTCATACCCGTGGAATCATACCTTACAGACAATGGCCCAGACACCACCATTGCCATCCCTGGATACATCCTGTCCCATCATCAAGACAGACCAAGAAGAGGTGGTGGCACAGTGGTATACAGTCGGGAGAGTGTTGCCCTGGGAATCCTCAGCATTGACGCCTGACCCCATGAAGTCCCTTGGCTTTCAGGAAACCTCCTGCTGATTACCACATATCATCCTCCCTTGGCTAATGAATCAGTATTGAATAACACTTTGAGGAAGCAGTGAGGATGGAAAGGACTCAAGATGTACTCTGGATGTGGGATTTCAATGACCACCACCAAGAGTGGCTTGGCAGCAGCACTACTGATTGAGCTGGTTGGTCCTAAAGGACATAGCTGCGAAACTGGGTCTGTGAGGGATCCAACAAGAGGGGATATAAACATACTTAGCCTCATTTTTACTCACCGGTTGGCTGCAGATGCTTCTATCCATGGGAGCATCAGTAAGAAAGACCACCACACAGTCCTTGTGGAGACAAAGTCCCACCTTCACATCTCTATCGTGTTGTGTGGCACTATCACCATGCTAATTGGGACAGACTTCATCCATGAGGCGCTGTGGGCCATAAACAGCAGCAGACTTATATGCCAGCATAATCTGTAACCTCATGGCCCAGCATTTTCCCCACACAACCATTTCCATCAAGCCAGCGGATTAACCCTGGTTCAATGGAGAGTGCAGGAGGGCATGCCAGGAGCAGCACCAGGCATTCCTAAAAATGAGATGTCAACCTGATGAAGCTGCCACATAGGGCCACTTGTAAACCTCACAGCATAAGCAGCAACTGATAGACAGCTAAGTGATCCCACAACCAACGGATCAGATGTAAACTGTGCAGTCATGCCACATCCAATCGGTAAAGATAATGTTCAATTAAACAACTCACCGGAGGAGGACACTCCACAAATATCCCCTTCCTCAATGATGGAAGAGCCCAGCACATCAGTGCAAAAGATGAGGCTGAAGCATTTGCAGTAATCTTCAGCCAGAAGTGCTGAGTGGATGATCTATCTTGGCCTCCTCCAGTGGTCCCCACCATCGCAGATACCAGTCTTCAGCCAATTCGATTCACTCCACGTGATATCAAGAAACAGTTGGAGGCACCGATACTGCAAAGACTATGGACCCTGACAACATCCTGGTAAAAGTTTGAAGACTTGTGCTCCAGAACCTGTTGCTCCCCTAGTCAAGCTCCTCCTGCAACACTGGCATCTACCTGACTGTGGAAAGTTGCCCAGATATGTCTTCCACACACAACCGAGCAGGACAAATCTAACCTGGCCAATTACCGTCCCATCAGTCTAGCCTCAACCATCAGTAAAGTGATGGAAGGTGTCACCAACAGTGCTATCAAGCAGAACCTGCTCAGCAATAACCTACTCAGTGATGCCCAGTTTGGGTTCTGTCAGGGCCACTCAGCTCCTGACCTCATAACAGCCTTGGGTCAAACTTGGACAAAAGAGCTGAATTCCAGAGGTGAGGTGAGAGTGACAGCCCTTGACATGAGAGCTGCATTTGACCGAATGTGGTATCAAGGACCTCAAGCAAAACTTGACTCAATGGGAATCAATGGGGCAAATTCTCCATTGGTTGGAGCCGTACCTAATGCATAGGAAGATATTTGTTGTTGTTGGGGGGGTCGGTCATCTGAATTCCAGAATGTCTCTGCAGGAATATCTCAGGATAGTGCCTTAGACTCAAACATCTTCAGTTACTTTATCAATCACCATCTCTCCATCAAAGGGTCAGAAATGGGGTTGTTTGCTGAAGATTACACAATGTTCAGCATCAGATACTGAAGGAGTTCATGTTCAAATGCAACAAGATCTGGACAATATCCAGGCTTGGGCTAGCAAGTGGCATGCAAATGCCAGACAATGGCCATCTCCAACAAAAGACAACGTAAACACCGCCCCATGACATTCAATGATATTACGATCACTGAGAATCCCCACTATCAATGTCTTGGGGGTTGCCAGTGACTAGAAACTCAACTGGCCTCGGCATAAAAGTACAATGGCTACGTTACTTACTTACCCATATTGTTCTGGGATGCGTTGGTTAGTGCATTAGCCATGGGAAATGCAGGGTTATAGGGACAGAGTTGGGGGATGGGTCTGGGTGGGATGCTGTTCGGAGGATTGGTGTGGACTTGCTGGGCCAAATAGCCTGTTTCCACACTGTGGGGATTCGATATTAAAAAAATCACAGCACCTTACAAGCGCATAACCACTTCCATCTAGAAGGACGGGGCAGCAGATACATGGGAACACCACCCCTAGCAAGTTCCCCTCCAAGCCACTCACCATCCTGACTTGGAAATATATCACCTTTCCTTCATTGTCGCTGGGTTAAAATCCTGGAATTCCCTCCCTAACAGCATTGTGCATCAATCTATAGTACGTGGACAGCAGCAGTTCAAGAAGGTAGCCCACTACCACTTTCTCAAGGGCGACTAGGACTGGCAGTAAATACTGGCCTAGCCAATGATGCCCACATCCCATGAGTGAATAAAAAAAATCAGATCAGGCCTTTCTGTTTCTTAACTTTGCCTTAAAAAGATTATTCAATACATGTCATGGTATGCCCTGACTGTTGAATCACACTGTTCGCCTTTGGGCAGTACGGATTCGTTCTTCATCATTTCCAGTGACCAGCACCATTCCACCTGCAAATGAATCTGAGGTAAATGTTAATCTTGAACAGATTAGAGAGCTAGTGAGAGCATCTCCTGACTCCCCTTGAAATCCAGGTCAATCACCTTATTATCCTCACACTGACCAGTCTCTGGTTTCACAGTAACTGTCCCTCTCTGACCATAGAGTCATACAGCATAGAAGCAGGCCCTTTCGTCCACCATGTGCTGACCAATAAACACAAAACTGTACTTATCCCATTTACCTGCACTTAGTCCATAGCCTAATATGTTCTGGTATTTTAAGTGCTCATTCAAATGTTGCTAGAGTCCCTGCCTCCCTCACCCTCTCAGGCAGCGCATTCTATATTTCTACCATGGCTGGTGAAAAGAATGTTTCCTTGAATCCCGTCCAAACCACTTACTCCTCATCTTAAACTTATGCCCTTTGATATTAGACGCATCTGCCGTGGGCAAAAGATTATCACAATCTACCCTATCTAGTGACTTTGTATACCTCAATCAAATCCCCCCCACCAAGCCACCTCTTCTCCAGGGAAAACAGACCCTGCCTATTCAGTCTCTCCTCATAACTAAGACTTTTCATTCGATGCAACATCCTGGTCAATCTCCTCTGCATTCTCTCCAGTGCAGTCACATCCTTGTGGTGACCAGAACTGCACACAGTATTCCACCTGTGGCTTAGTCAATATTTTATAAAGTTGTAACACAGCTTCCTTGTTTCTATATTCTACACCTCAGCTAATGAAGGCAAGCATCCTGTATGCCTTCTTCACCACCCTGTCTACCTGTGCCGACACCTTCAACAACCTACGGACTTGTACATCAAAGACCCTTTGTTCCTCAGTACTCTCTAGAAACCTGCCATTCATTGTGCAAAATCCTTCCCTTACTAGAACTCCCAAAATGCATTACGTCACTTATCAGGATTTAATTCTATCTGCCCAATTTACCAGCTGATCAGTAATAGACTGTAGCTTGAGATCATCCTCCTCACTGTCAAAAATGCCACCAATTTTTGTGTTGTCTGCAGACTTACTAATCATATCTTCTACATCCAAGTTATTAACGTACGTAACAAACAACAAGGGCTCCAGCACTAGTCTCTGTGTTACACCACAGGTCACAGGTTTCCAATCACAAAAACAACCCTCCCTTTGCCTCCTACTTGCAAGCCAATTTTGGATCCAGTTTGCCAATTTGCTTTTGATCCTACAGACTGTTACCTTTTGGACCTGCCTTCTATGTGGGACCTTGTCAAAGATCTTATTGAAATCCATGTAATTCATTTCAACCACGCTACCTTTGTTAATATATTGTCACCTTTTCGAAAAACTCAATTAATTTGACAGGATCTACCTCTAACAAATCCATGCTGACTATCCCTGATCAATCCTGCCTTTCCAAGTGTTGATTAATCCTGTCCCTCTGAATTTTTTCCAACAGTTTCCCTACCACTGATGTCAGACTAACTGGTCTGTATTTACTTGGCCTATAATAAAAACCAAAAGAACTGCAGATGCTGTAAATCAGAAACAAAAACAAAGTTGCTGGAAAAGCTCAGCAGGTCTGGCAGCATGTGTGGAGGAGAAAACAGAGTTAACGTTTCGGGTCCGGTGACCCTTCCTCAGGACTGATGGCGGCTGAGAAAACGTCAGTTTATATGCAGAAAATAGGGAGGTGGGTGGGGTAGGGAGTAAACGATAGGATAGAGCCCAAAGAGAGAGAAAGACAGTTGGACAGACAAAGGAGTTGCTAACGATCAGGCTGGGAGGGTGAATGGTTGTTAACTGTTAGTGACTAACAACAGGGGGTGTGTAGTGGCAGGCTATGTGGTAACAAGCCTGGTGTGTGGGGTGGGGGGCTGGGACATGGGAGAGTTTAGGCCCTAAAATTTAGGATAAATTTTGCAGATGCTGCCAGACCTGCTGAGCTTTTCCAGCAACTTTGTTTTTGTTTTACTTGTCTGCTTTCCTTCTTGAACAAAGGAACCACATTAGCTTATCCTCCTGTCATCTGGCTTTTCACCTGTGGTGAGCAAAGTTTTAAGTACCTTCACCATAGCCCCAGTAATCTCCCTTGCCTCCCATAGCAGCCTGGTTTCACAATAACTGTCCCCACACTGACTAGTCCCTGGTATCACAGGAACTGTCTCCACACCGACCAGTCTATGGAGGGTTTGGTGTCAGTAAATGTCTGAGTGGTGTGATACAACTGCCCTAACTCAATAACTGTGTGTTGAGCAGCCTCTGGAGTTAATGTATTTAAAGTTTTTGAGAAGATTTGTAGCTCGGGTTGTGGATGAGGTTGTAGACATGCTCGCTGATCTGGTGGATTTGGTTGCAGACGTTTCGTTACCCTTCTGGGTCATTGTCAGTGCGCCTCCGGTGAAGCGTTGGTGTTCTGTCCCACTTGTTATTTATATGCTTCGATTTGCTGGAGTGATTGGTATCACTTCCAGTTTTGTTTCTCAGTGGTTTGTACATAGGGTTTAATTCAATGTGTTTATTGATGGAGTTCCGGTTGGAATACCAGGCCTCCAGGAATTCCCTGGCGTGTCTCTGTTTGGCTTGTGCGGTCACATTCCTGGAAGCCTGCTATTCCGACCGGAACTCCATCAATAAACACATTGAATTAGACCCTGCGTACCAACCACTGAGAAACAAAACCGGAAGTAATACCAACCATCCCAGCAAACCGAGGCATATAAATAACGAGTGGGACAGAACACCAACGCTTCACTGGAGGTGCACTGACAGTGTTATCTAGCAGGGTGACAAAACGTTTGCAACCAAACCCACTGGCTCAGCGAACAAGTCTACAACCTCGAGTTAATGTATTGCTGAGCTCCAGTTGTTTATCTGTATTCCTTTACTCTTTCTAAAAAATGTGTTTATTTTTACAGGCTTGCTCCTCAAACAAATCCTCGAAAATGTTACTCGTTCAATAAATGAGACCAATTCCACTCCCCGTCTCAAAATGATCATGTACTCAGCGGTGAGTCACTTGAAATTGAAGAGGATCAAAATATTCAGTATAAATGATGGATAAGATTAAAACCGTATGATGATATTATGGTTAAAAAGCCACATTTCATGGTGTTTACAATCACATCAGCATGGAATTGATTGGCAGTATTAAGCACACCAAGATTAATCAAAGGTATTAAACATTATACAATCAACTTTGTTCATAATATCACCATTGTTGGTATCAGACCCATGGAGATTGACAGTATTGCTCACACTGTTATTGATGTGAAACACACTGCCAGCGGCATTATTAAACATACCGTGATCATTGTCCATTGAGATCCAAGCCAGTCAATGAGACCAAAACCAAGACACCTTTCTTTCTACTTAGAGTTTATTGACTGCTTAATCTTACAGGTCCTTCCACACATTTGTATTATCTGTTCCTCCTTGTGATCTAACCAGTTAATTCATTAATCTACTAATCATCTTTTGGAGTGCAAAACTTGAGTATTGCTGAAAAAGTATTGCAGTGTACTGCACATGTGAGAATTGGAAGCTACATATATTCGTACACACTGCCCTGCCCTTTGCAGGCAGAAATGACAAACATACACAATGTGCTGTTTCAACTCAGAAAAAACGGTGACAGCCATTCTCTGATTCTTTGATCAGTCAGGGTGAACCTGCCTGGTTTAAAATTTAAACAAAGCTTATCAGTCATCATCTAACTGGTGCATTCTCCAATCAGCACTCTCCCCTCATAGAGTATAAATGTTTTATCTTCCCCTTTACATTGATATTTCTTATAAATTGTCCTGATGAGTATAAGACAAAAAACTTAAGCAAGTCTTTTTATCAGCAATATTTACCTTAATAAAGCTAATCTGTCGTACAATTTTTTCATGTAATTTTTCACATACCCTCTTCTTCTTTTTAATGAAAAATGGCGTTTAATCATAGTGACCCAAACAAATGACATTTTTTTTCACATTCTTATTGCACCTTGCACCACCAGGTGTCACTCTTCAAGGACCTCCAATAGTTTGGTGAAACAAGTCCTTTTTTTTGTAAAACAAAGTGACAACTAGTAATTTGTATCAAGCTATGTTTTATTTTGGAAATATTTTTTAAAAATTTTCTTTATGCTGACACAGGTACAGACTGTAAATATATATACCTACACGCTGTACTTGCACCAGTGTTTCAGCAACTAATGTATGTTTAACTTATCTTTATTCTCTTAGCTTTCCAGCCAACAGACAACATTGATTATTCTTTTCCTCCAAGCATATGAAACCCTCATCATAACCAAATAGCCATCTCGAAGCTTCACTTAAAAGAACTAGTTACATACCTTTTGGGTCACCTAAGGCTGGAAACTTGATTGTTCATTTTTCTAACTTCAATTTCTTTAATATTGTTTTATTTGCTTTCAAGGTGCCCTCAACAGTATCATGTTTCAATGTCGTACTCTATTCCAGTGTGTCATAACTGGCATCAGATCTAGGCTGAGTGTATAACCAGTTTAACTGTCCAATCAAACTTCTTAATTGGTCTGTTTCTCCTTTGGATGCAACACAGCTTCCTGTGAGGACCTGGCCTAGTTTGTCAGGGTGCCGTTAACATTTTTCTAAGTGAGACTGTTCATCCAGAGTCAGTTCTGACTTGTTCAGTTTTATGTTGAATTCTTTTTATTTTAAAGCCCCTGAAGCATGACTTCCTTTTATTTTACCATAATTCATTCAAATTCTGTAGAACTTCCCCAATCATTACCATGCATCATAAAGATGCCTGCCACTTTCTCTTTGTGATTCCCAATAGAACATTGCTGGATCTATTTTAGGTTGAATACAACCCATTTTCAGCAAGATAGACCTAACTGAGAAATACCATACCTTCAGTATAGCATTCAAACCCATAACACATTTATTTAATTTTCATAACTTCCATTCTAATTTGCTGCTTCTTTAAATTGATTCAAAACTAATTTTCTTTGAAATTTCTCATTTGCAACAATATGTCTTTCTATACACATTGACTTACATTCCTAGGAGAGTTTGATAAAGGAGCTAAGAAGATCTTTTTTTCCATAGTGGGAGAATCCAACACTTTAATCATGGAGTTCCTCTTCAAAACCCAGAGCCACCAGTCTGGCTTTATCTCTGTGTGCCCCATCAGGGAGCACTTTTTTCTGTGCTATCCATTAGCCTGGAGTGTTGTGGAGGCAGGTTCAATTGAGACGTTGAGGGCATCAGCTGGTTATTTAAATCAACACAACTTCTAATTTGTTTGTAGCCACTAAGGTCTCTTAATCATAAGGGCTTCTACTTCTTGGAGTAGCCCAACCTGTTCCATAGTCTCTCTTCTCTCTCCCCCCACTCTATCTTCAGCATTTTTGTGGCTATAGTTGGTTCTGAAGAAGGGTCACTGGACCCAAAATGTTCTCTCTTCTATCTCTCTACAGATGCTGCCAGACCTGCCGAGTTTGTCCAGCAATTTCTGTTTTTGTTTCTGTTCCACAGTCCTTGTTCTTGTCAAACAATGAACTTTTCTGTCTCATTCTGGATGACTACAACAAGATCTTCCCCCTCCTATCATCAGAACGCTTGCTACTTTTTCTAGCCTTTCACATCTTTACCTCATTTTCCCCATCCGTGAATCTTGCCTCCTGTCCATCATTTTCCACTTTAGGACAGGGCCATATGCTGCTGGCTTCCCCTATAATGGTGCCATTGCTTCATTCACTGGCCCTTCTGGTTTATATGTTATTTTGGTGCCAACGTTTGCTGCTGTCCTCTGAGCAAATAGCCTTTTCCTGCATCTCTGTTTCACATATTTCATACTCAATCAGCCTTTCACATGTCATAATCTGGTCCTCATAATTGTGCAACAGTTGTGTATGTGAAATGCATGATGCCTCATGACTTTGACTGACTTATTCAGATCCTGTAAGTGTGTAATTGGTGCCAACTAAACTTGACATGTTACCTAAGTGTTTGGTTACCAAGCTATAAAAGGATTTTTTCCATCACTTTACCTTTCCGCTCTTTCTGTAATATGTCTCCTGGATTACAACTTATTTTTGATAACATTATGCGATACCGTACGGCTTAGTGAATTTTTCTTGAAACCTCAGCCCTGATAAATACCCTTGTCCCTGCATGCAGGGCATTCAAGCACTTGGAAAAAAATGAGCTAATTGTCATCCCTTCTCAAATTAAGTGATGATCACTTATTGCTGAAGGAGGTTTTGATTTTCTCCCAAAAAAGAACTGAAACGGACTGTAGCCTGAACTGATTGCAGTAAGTTCTTCCCATGGTCTATCTTAATTAGAGCAGGTGTTAATTTACAACGTGGTCGATCCACTTGGATTTTATGATCCATTTCCTCTATTATATTCTGATTTTTTTTTCACATTTTATCATTTAAAGGGACCTCCTCTCTCGTGTTCATTACTACAAGGATCCAGTTTTCTCACACATGTTCATTATTGGCAGATTATCCCTATTGTCAGTTAGGAACTTAGCCAGAGTCACCAACCTAGTCCCTATCAATTTCTCCGTTACCTCATTCACTATTACTCTTTTCGTGATATGTTATTGTAGGTGGTCTCAATCTCATTAGCATGTCTGTAGATTGCAAGACCACATTTTTTTCCTTGCTTCATGCCTTTGAGTTCAGTGCTACAACTTAGATTAAGTCTTTTGCTAGTGGGATTCACGTACTGGGCCATGATAGTGTCCTCTTATTTTTTTAAGGTATATCAAATTTATCACTGATCACTTCTGTGTGTTTAGTGTACTTATTGTCCCTTAGTCCTGCATCCTTTTGAAGGTTAGGAACCTAGGATTAGGAGTGGGCTCTGAAATAAAACAAAGAATTGCAAATGTTAGAGATCTGAAACAATTATCTTAGAACTGCACCAACAGTTTCACCACCCATCTTGTCAAGTGAAGCATTTCATTGAATGGCAAAAAGAGTAGGCTTGAGGTGCTGAATAGCCTACTCCTGAAAGGAAAACAAATTTCTGCTGAAACTCAACACATATGGCAGCATGTGTGGGAAGAAAGCATAATCAGCATTGAATCCAGTGACTCTTCTTTTGAATAAAGATGCTGCCAGAAGATAGGTGGCTAAACTGTTGGTGCAGTTCTAAGATAATTGGGCTTTCTATTCCTGTAGACACCTATGTCCTATCGCTGAGAACGTTAAGATTTTAATTAGAGAAGTTAGATCTACATAAATGAAAACAACAATGTTTGGATTGTATAAATTGTAAATCCACTGAGTTTCCAAAAAAATTGCCTTGTGCTCCATATCCTATTTCATTTGAACCTTTCTCATAAACAGCCTACTCAATTTTTATCCTTGACACTACATCTCTGCTGATCAAGTGGTTTACCCAGCTTTGTTTCAGAAAATCATCAATGTTTTAAGTTATTTCCGGATGTTGTCATTACCAAATAGGAAGCAGGTAGAACTCTCAAGTCCCTTAACCTTTCTTAGATTCTGTCAAAAGCAAGTATCAATGTAACGTTTTAACTAATCTACTACAGATACTGTCCAATACAGCATAGTTAAATGAGTACATAAGAAATAAATTCATTGCAGGCTGAAGCTTCTTGTAATTAGTACAATTCCTTCTTTGTGATATGTAACACCATCTTCCCCTTTCAAACCATTCCTGGTGTTTAAAGTTTTGAAAAAAAACATCTTTTTTTAGTTTGGAGAATTTAATGCATAATAGTATCTAAAACACTTGTTGACTATAGCCTGGGCATTCATAATTCATAGATCATAGAATCCCTACAGTGTGAAAACAGGCCCTTCAGCCCAACAACTCCACACGAACCCTTGGAGCTTCCCACCCAGACCCATCCCCCTATAACCCACCTAATCTACACATCCCTGAACAGTATGGGCAATTTAGCATGGCCAATCCACCTAACCTGCACATCTTCGGACTGTGGGAGGAAATAGGAACACCCGGAGGAAACCCACGCAGACACAGGGAGAATGTG